CCATGCAAGTGTTGAAAAGTGTTGGCACAAGGACACAGCCTTGTCTCACTCCTGAACTAACAGGAAAAGCTCGACAGGGCCCCACCATGCTTTACAGCACTTTCAGTACCAGTATACAGTCTTGCTATTAGTCCAATAAACTGTTGGAATTCCTCTCAATCTCAGGATTTCCCAGTGTGATTTCGAATGCACAGCAATAATTGCTTTCTTGAGGTCGATGTAGGCTGCAAGCAGCCCATGCCTGAACTCGTTGTGGCGTTCTACAGTGACTCAAAGCACCAGGATATGGTCTATTGTGGACTTACCAGGAGTGAATCCAGATTGCTCCAGCCTCTGGTGCTTCAGCAGGTGGGCTCTGATATGTCTCGGAAAGATGTGGACGAGAACCTTGCCTGGTATACTGAGCAGTGTTATGCCTCGGTGATTGCTGCAGTCCCATCGATCCCCCTTCCCCTTCTAGAGAGGGATGACCACACCACTCAACGGGTCAGGGGAAACATTACCAGACTGCCAGATGGCAGCCAGGACAGCATGCAATGCCCACACCATAGGTTCAAAACCAGCCTTTAACAGTTCAGCTGGGATGTCGCAGATACCCGCTGCTTTACCACTCTTCAGCTTGGAGATCGCCTTCTAACTTCAGTTAGGGAGGGTGGATCCTCACTGATGGGTGGATCCAGCAATGGAATCTCCGCACTGAAGTTAACTGATGGTGGATCAACCTGGTACAGCTGCTTAAGGGGAAGAGTCGTCGGTACGATCACGAAATTCGTTATTCGATCCTGCTTACTTTAGTTTTTTAACTAGGTCAATAATTTTTTTTGCACAAAGTGCATGGGTATGTGATACTTGTATACAAGAAATTTGATTAAAAAAGCTGCGTAAATTTTTGCGCTAAAAAAACAAAAACGATCGAGATGATAGAATTCAAAAATTACGTGATGGTTTCCTTTTAGTGAATAGTACTGCAGTTTCCTTCTGCCCAGAGTTAGTCAACAAATAGAGTACAAAATGTAGCATTTATGTAAATCTATCTGAAACAACAATGTTTCAGTTACCTTGCAAAAAATCAAATTTTTTTCGTCCGAAAATCGCCATTATTTTTTTCTATAAAAAATGTATTTGGTGGAAATAATGCATGACTTTGCTACAGTTAGTAGATACGAACTGGACGATCATTTTGCAACAAGAATGATTAAAATCGCGTAATCACATACAAAGTTAACCTTACTATCATGCGTGAAAATATGATTTTGAGAAAATGGCAGTTTTTGTCATTCATCGTCATTACATCATAAAGGTCATACCAGTGATTACCAAATGTGAATATCTACTTAGACAATACCTTGGCCTTTAATATGAGTCCTGTGGTAGAGGGTCAGGCCTTGTTCTGGTAATTTTAGGTCATCTTTATGTCAAGGTTAGGTTAGGTTAGGTGGGAGTGTTCTCTGAAAAGTATACTTTCAGATGTCAAGGCTCCTGGTTCCTCTGTCATTTACATATCATAGTACATAATAAATCGTATATTTTGCATTTCTGATATATAAATGACATATTGTTAGGTTTACAACAGGTTGAAAACAAAACATGCGTACTCCCGAAAACTTTATCAATCGCACTGTTCTCCCGTCCTTGCTGCTGCTGCCTGTCTGCTGAACGCAGCCTAAACTATCGTACAACAGTATCATACCAAAGAAATTCGCAAAAACAGCCGAAAAAATGCTGAAAATACAAGAAAAACAAAGCATGAAGCAAAAATGGGTGTGGCAGCACAAGGGCATTTAAATACCCCAGACCTTTAAACCGCGGAAAGGAGCGTGTTACACATCTGGCAACCGGCGCCCTGGGTGCGTCACATGGTCATGTATCCACCCACAAAGTTTGAAAAAATCGTAATTTGTGAACCGTACTGACGACTCTTCCCCTTAACCCACTAACGATAGGTGTCCCACATATGAGACACCCGAAAAAATAATCATTGCCGGGTGTCCCGCCAGTGTCACGCTGTATCAGGGCACGCGCTCCGACGCAGCAGCGGGCAACGGCTGGAGGGCAGACGGAGTCCAGGGCAGCTCCGCCCACTGATTTTGTAGCCGCCTGGAATCTTTTATTTTCGGCTTCAAAATATACCGGCGTTAATGGGTTAAAATACTCAGCCCCATGCTCCCGCAGTGCAACAGGATCTGAGACAATCTGGCCACTTACTGAGCGAACTGCAGTCATTTGTGAAGAGAGCTTGGAGTTCATATTTCTCAGGGCTTGGTAGGCAGGAAAAAGGTCATTTACTAAGAAGTGGCCTTCTACCTCATCTGCAAGACTCCTAATTAACTGCTCCTTGTCCATTCTCAACAGTGACCGAGTTCTGCACACCTGAGAACAGTGCAAATCCCAATGCCTGTCAGACTGGCCGCAAGACAAGCATCAGTAGTTCTACCTCATCTGCAAGACTCCTAATTAACTGCTCCTTGTCCCTTCTCAACAGTGACCGAGTTCTGCACACCTGAGAACAGTGCAAATCCCAATGCCTGTCAGATAGGCCGCAAGACAAGCATCTGTAGCTTCCAGTGTCTCCTGCGAGATAAAATTCTGTCTTGCTCTTGGCCGTTCACCAATTGATTCTTGAGCTGCATCAAGTGTTTCATGCTTGAAGGTGTCCCACAGAAGTACAGGGTCCGCCAGATTGTCGAATCTTGTGAAATGACCAGAAATTGCATCAGCAAACCCCTGGGCACACTCGCCCTCCCTCAGTCTGTCCAAATGAAACACCCTAGGGTGGTTATTGGACCGCTGGGGAGTTTTGAAGAGGACCAAGAAGCTCAGTACCACTGATGTCTTTGGCTGATCTCCTTGTCTGCATTACCTGCATCGCTGTATCACGTCCAACGATGTGGGTCAGAGCGCTAGTGTCAAGAGCCAGAAATCCTCAATTTCTGGGACCTTGCAAAGTTCCAGAAAAAGACACTATTCTCGCTGCCGGCATCAGCTCCCGAACCATGGGGACAGACATCTCATATCCAGCTCGACCACAGCCAGATATCACTTTGCAGTGACTCTGAACAATACAACTATCTCGCTGAGGACAACCGTTTGACACAGATGCAGGTTTGGTGTATAACATCTCTCACGTAGAGTTTACAAACATCGGTAGGAGCGTACACAGCAATAAGAGACATAAAGCCAAATACTAGCTTCAGTCTCAATACCATTATAAGCTCGTCAACTATTGAGGGCTGGAGTCTGCTGAATATAGCTATGTGACTCCGTGAGGATGGTGACCATCGCTGTGGCCTGACCAGTAATAGATTTAGCCACCTACACAAATTGTGCCACTGCTAGGTCTTCTTACCTCAGAGAGAGCAGCCACTTCAACTCTCAGTCTCCCCAGTTCTGTCGACAGTAGAGGCAACCAATCAACCTGACACAAAGAAGGGACGTTCCAAGCCCCCACCCTGATGTCTCAGCCTCCCCAGTTCTCTCGACAGTAGAGGCAGCCGATCTACCTGATGCAAAGAATGGACATTCCAAGCCCCCACCCTGATGTTCCGCCTGAGGTTTAGCCTTGGGCAATCACTCCAGGTGAATGCTACCTCTGCCATCCCCGCTGACACTACCCCATATAAAGGGGGGTGGCAG